AATGTTTCTGGCTAATGCTGCTGTGTAAAGAACGCAGCTCGGTCAGTCGCTGCTGCAGCGCTCGTTGAATCGTTCTGCACCTTGCGCTGGAAGTGCGCTACGGACGGCCCCGTTCTTTGTGTCCGTGCTTGGGATGTGCGTCGGTTCGGGAGGCCGCCACCCCCTCCGCCTCTCCCCCCCCCCCCTCTCCGTTCCCCTTTCTCACCTTGTGCGCGGCGAGAGCGCGGCTGAGCTGCGAGTTTAATAACGGCGCTGTCACGGAGCGAAACATCACGTAATTCCGGCGACTGTCGCCGTAATTATATGCACGTCACTCAGTTGCCAGCATTGAGCGACGGCGCAAGTTTAAGCGCCTCCTAAAATAATATCCCCCTTATCAGCATGACTGTTTTATTTAATATTTATACTGCACGTGTCTTTATGCGACTATTTTGATTTATGACCCTATGCACAGAGGAATACAAGGAATGCACATAATGGACATGGCTTCCTTACTTTTGCTGTTTTGTGGGAGCCCCTGATGTCGGGCAGTAACATAGATATGCGTGTGCCTTCGGTAATCTAAAAGTTATGCTTCGATGCCTGCAAGAAGCTTCTTTTTCATTTTGGTGTGCCCTGCTTTCGTTAAGTTGTGAAACTGATGAATGATAATTAATGGTTGAAATGTGTGTATATATAGACCTCAAAGGCACGACAACTCTTTTATTTGCCATGCTTGTCAAATATTAATTGCTTGTGCGATTGCGCTGCTGAGCTTGTAATGGTGAGGCTGCTTGATGTCGTGTGATTGGCGGGCTGGGCCATGTGAGTATATCCTGGCAAAAATGCACATTACTCCTCGATGCTGTACACAATAGAATTCCAGTGACAACTGAAATGTAGGAAAGTGTTCTTAATTGTCTGCACATTGGTAAATGCGACAAATGAATACGATCCCCGGTATATGTGTGTGGACTTGCACACATTTCTCATGTGAAAATTATCCTGATGTAATGATAATGTGATGGGACACTTTTCACAACTCGTATTGTCCTTGTACTAACACCTGACCACCCTTCTTCCGTATTATAAAACTCAATGGTCTTAAGTGTGTGTCTCTTCTCTTCGAAAACAAAACGCTGGCACACAGCCCGTATACACAGCTGGCACGATTAAGACAATCAACCACTGCCAGTTGGGATGAGTGTTGGTTAGAATTTGCCAACTTTTTACCGGATATTATGTCCCGACTGTCACCACAGTTGCCAAACAAACGCTATGAGCCTCATGCTCAATGTGACATTGCCGCTTGTTGAGTCGGATGGCTTGTCCTGGTCATTAACATTTCATACCGGGTTCAGGTTCTTTTCCAGCAGTGCCATCCAGTTGTTGGCTTTAAATTAAACTAGTGCGGCGCCCAAATTTCATTGTCCGATTCGTCCATGCCAATGCGTGGTTCTTTTCATTTCGCGCGATTGTGGAGGTATTTCGCACGCGTAATTAAGTGCTGATTTATACCGAAGAGTAATTGCGGGTTTTAGTGCCGAAAATTACCGTTGAATCCGAATGTTAAACAGCTGTAAAGCAATTAATCTTCTGACCCGTATAGGCTAATACGTTTCGATTTAAAGCTTTCGTGACTGCAGGGATTCATCTTCTTGGTTCTTTCGGTAAAGTCACGTAGAAGGGAAGTAATAAAATAATAAAAATAAAATAAAACATAATAAAACAATTCTCACTTATTATGTTTTATTTTTATTATTTTATTACTTCCCTTCTACGTGACTTTACCGAAAGAACCAAGAAGAGGCTAATACGTTGTTTAGTAATTTAGCAGGACTTGCACAGATTTGTGGGCGTGCATTTAAAAAGCAAGCGCATGCTCTGTGCATTATCGAATTTCGCTGTGCGCGTAATGATCAAATGTGCATTTAAATAATTTGCTTCCGATACGATGTCAAGCAGGTGATTCTTTTTGGCAGGTATCAACGTTGCATCTTTGCCAATCTTACAAAAGTGATTGACGTCTATTAGGTTAAGACAATGCCAACCCTTCAAATAATTCATGCCAAATTAAGACAAATCGCCACTTTGTATTGATGGAATATCTAAAAAAGTGTATCTCGCTCCTCCACAAAACACATCACCTTCAATTCCACGGGAGCGCCCTTTGCCATTCGGAACCGTGGCGAGCGTCGTTTTTGGGGCGCTGGCTGAAACGCGAGACCGGGCGGTTGGGTTGTCTTTAGAACTTGACGCTTGAAATTGAGCTTGCGGGCTCTGAAAGCATCTGCAATGGGGCCCGTGTTACGGTGACATTTGCCAGAACCAGCACCGTGCAGCTTAGCCACCGCCCCTCAGACGCCTCCTGTATTGCTCCTGACAGCAACTCAACGACCGAGCTCTCCTCCCAGCTCACCGGGGACCCGGCTGACTTTAGGCGATGGGCTTTTATTAGATTTACAAAGATTAATTATCCTGATTGGCGCGGATGAATATTATGCCAATTAATCATGTTTGAAGGCTCTATTGGGCCTCTGTGCTGCTTATTGCTCATTAATAGTAAGACCCAAGGAAATAAGTTTGCCTCTCTAATTGCTGTTGCTTAACACCTTCTACGTTTTCATTACGTTTTGTGCTCTTATTTAGCTCGCAGCTACTTAATTTGGTGGATATTGACGTTGCTGGTTTAGGTCAATAACAGCATATTTACATGCCGGAGGTGAAGCTTACTTTTAGCCTACTGCGTAGTTTTTTCTCTATCAAATAATGTAATGCATGGACCGTTGGCAATCCACTGCTGGTTGAAGGCCTCCCCCCCCACGTTGCGCCATGCGTGCGGGTTTCACCATATTTCACCTCGCTCGTCGGCACGAGATGGTGAAATAGGTTGTTTATTGCGTTATTCTTCTAACACATTTGTGATTGAGACAACTTGCGTATTGGTTTTACTGCATGATCTTATTTAAAACTAGAAATTATAATGAAGGTTACTAAGAGCTGACTTGATTTACTAGCTGACGTAAAATTCAAAATAATTGGGGTAATTTTTCAGCATATTTTTTGTCACAAATGAAAATAGTATTGCTGTAGTTTAAATATATATCTTAAAAGAGAATATATGCGTCTACTGGCAATATCCCCACCATCCAGTGCTTTAGAGATGAGGATTAGTCGATCACACTGCTCTGTGGGACTTCCAAACCCAATGGACTGCTGAGTGGCCAGGAGATAGCAGTACCACGAGGTGGTTCATGGACCTGTCGGTTCAGACCTTTTAGTCTTCTCATTTCATAGATTTTCTCTGGGTACTTGAGTTTTCTAAGAGCAGAAACAACATCCTTTACATCGGAATTGGCCAGGCATCCTAATGCAGGACCTTTAGAAAATGAGTATCCGGGCTCAGAAGTCTTCCCTGGGTAAATACACGACATTATTATTGTTATAGAATTTTGCATTGTTATAGAATTTTGCATGCAGTGCTTGTGTGAATCTATAGTAAAGCGCGAGGGTAATCCTTCGTATTCCGCTGGACTGGAATGAGCCTGCAGATGGTTCTCTTTGGTCATTCGGGATAACCTGGAGACATTGCTTGGGGACTGCGCCACAGAGGCTGGTCTGGTGTGTATTTCCTACCAGTTCATTTGTCTTGTACATATTTGGTGTGTGCCATTTACGCCGTGGAATGAAGACTAAAGGGGGCAGTGGTGGGGTTGGGGTTGGAGGGGGTGGTTTCCGAAGCAGGGCTGCGAGGTATCAGGTAGACTGGCAGAGGCACGATGCCAGATAAAGGCTAGCGGAGGAGTGATGGGGTGTCGGGAGAATGAGGCCGAGCCGAATGGCAGTGGCTGCCGCTGTGACTGGGAGCCCGCTGGAGGCGTGTTTGTTGATGTTTGTTTAGCCTTCCTGTGTTTGTGTTTGCTTTTTCTGCTTAATCCCAGTGTCTGCCTCGCTTTCCCTTGAGCTTTAAATCTTAAAAACGGAGACTGCCGCACAGATGCAAGCCCGCCAGTCTGCCCGAATGACTGCCCGCATCCGCCAAACTGTAATTGCATGCGCCAGTTTAAGCTAATTGAAATGGTTTTGTATTGAAAGGGCCTTCTATTGAAGCAAGGGGAGAAATCCTTTTAGCATTTCAAATGTGTTTTGTGGGGTCGGGGCATAAGTTCTGGTAACAAGCTGGTGTAAAGTTACATTATTGTTAATGGGAGTCTTTCATTGGAAATAAATATGTAATGCACGTTAATGGAAGTGAACAGTAGTGTTGATGATTGTTGAAGTATTATATCAAACTATATAAGCAGCACTTTGTCGTTCAATAAACATGAGGATAAATGAAGCAGCCAGGGCTTTCCAGAGTGCCTCCGTTACCGTCAACCGTTAGCATTAATACAACATGAGTGGAAATTAAACCCAGTGGTCAATCCATTCACCTAAGAACAGTTCCACAAATTAAGCAGCCTCACATAAATTTTGATTTAAAGCTTTCGTGACTGCAGGGATTCATCTTCTTGGTTCTTTCGGTAAAGTCACGTAGAAGGGAAGTAATAAAATAATAAAAATAAAACATACACATTCAAAAATAAATGAATGCTGAAAAATTAATAAGTAATTGGTTTAACTCGTACATGAAACTGACATCACCAGTTCGGCGTGGATGAAGCCTGTTTGCCTGAGTACGTGCGATACCATGGTATGTTTCTGAGTTTGTCTTTCTTGCTGAGAAAGGTGGACAAATGAGTTAAATCTCAGTTACTGTCCCTCATTTGTTCATGTACTATGCATGAGTAAAAAAAAAAACAATCCGCTCAGTGTACGAATAAATATCCACGTCCACATTTCACGTGTCTGAAATGTACGAGCAAATTCGTAGAATTTGCCCCTGTCTGGGCGCATGTCACATCAGCACACTCGAGAACTCTGACCATAACATGTGTTATGCCACGTTGTGGGACTTAACATGCTCCTGTAAGGTATCATTGTAACACCGTGACCTTACGAAATGTCATTGGCGTACGCAGGTTTACAAAAGGCTTTCGGAGGTTCTCGGGCTCAACGATGAGACGATGGTGTTGAGTGTCTTCATCGGTAAAATGTAAGTATCAAGCGTTGTGCCACATAGCTCATTACACACGTACGTGTCTCAGACACGAATCACACTAGTCTTTACAATTAGAGTTCTTTCCAGGTGATGTTGAGTTCAAGCGATTGCACTCAACCAGATAAGATTCATATCCTGTGCAGACTGTTATTATTTCACTTTTATTTTGTTTGGATTTGTAAAATGCGCACACTTATTTTTTTAACCTATTATGGTAGAAGGCAATGCATATGATTCTTTAAAAAGATCCCACTGTACCGATGTCAAGATAGCTTCATATTGAAAGGGCTATCTCTGGAGCAGGGGAGCAATCTTTCTGAAGCCCCGTTTTGTTGCCCTGTTCATATAATAATACACTGTGTGATATTGCAGTGTATTAACACAGAGGACTACAGTGAAAAATAAAGTAATAAACACACAAGTCTGCATGAATATAATATTCCGTTCTCAAAACTTTGGACAGCTCCTCGTAAGTTATGAATTTTTTGTCGGGACGTTTTAGTGCTTCTGAAGTGTCGTTAATAAACAGCATCGCTGTGAATGAATGGAGGCCTGCTTGAGGCGGTCACGACAGCCTAAATGCGCCGAGTGTCTTTGTGTTCTGCAGTATCACGAACTTGAAGTACTGGGGCCGGAGCGAGCCCATCCTCTCCAGGACCCTCAACCTGCTCAACGACCTCTCTGTCGGATATCCTTTTCCTGGGCTCGTTGTGCGAGTGCCACCCGTGTTTACGTTAGGGCGCAGCGCGAGGAAGTAGCAGGTCAGTGAGGCCAGCTTCCTCGTAAAACACATCCGAATTCGGTCTGACAAGCACGTCTCGAGCGAGATAACATCTCGGATCGCCACATGCGTGTCCAAGTGCTGGATCGGATGTGGTGAAATTTATGTTTGTAAACTGGAAGGCCGTAGCGCCTGGGTGAACATCCGTCTATTTCTAATGGGATCCTTTTGTGTGCGTGATAATGCCACGATTCTTTTGCCTGTACACCAGCGGTGGAGAACCTTCGCCTTATTGTGAGAGCCTGATAGGACTTCCCAATGCCATTTGCAGGTCAAACAATACAGGATGCTTCAAAAAAATATTAACACTTACATGGGACTATCGTTTTTAATGGAAAAAGAATGGATAATACACTGTAACATGATAACAAATGTATGTTAATAGCTTCACAAAGTCAGTTTATACTTGTTTGCCATCATTGTCAGCACATGCCTGGAATCTTCTTCAGGTAGTCTCCAGAGCCCGGAGGCACATGTCTTGTGCTATTATTGCAAATTCTCAGATGTGTTCACATTTTTTTGAAGCACCCGGTGTTAGGAAGCCACTTTTAAATCTACATTGAAAACGAATTTCTTTAGAACTGCTTTTTGTGTTTAGTTCGTTGTCTTTTCCCCGCACCTCTGATTAGCACGGTTGACTACATACGGTGCGAAAGCAGTTCAACATACATACGCACTGTAGCATTATGTCTTAACGACCGGAAAAATAACGTATGTGGCCAACGATTATAATATAAGATGCCCCTCGATCGATAAAAGTGACTGAGCGTGATCAAATCGAATGAAAATTTTTCGTCAGATAAATATAATTTGCGCGCCGTTTCGAAGTGGAAGCCTCAAGTGGCCACGCGCCGTACGAAATGGCCGCAATGTCCCCCACCACTGGTTGCAGACCATCTGTCGGCAATGTTAGCCACCTCGTTCATGAAATGTTTGCCAAACATTTTTACCAACAAATGAACAGCGGCTTCGGTTTGACTTTTAAAAGTTGGCGCTCTGACCACATTTTGACGTGGCATTGATAAGTGTTTGACGCTTGTCACGCATGTTGACGTGCGATCGCCCTTCAATTTCCTTAATGCGGCTCACCTACAGCAGCGTACGGAAACTGGTCAAGCTCACCGCCGTACAATTCATGCTGAAAAACCACACGGTGAGTACTCGCACGCGGAGTGCAAAACACATTGTGACACGTGCTCTGCCTCCTGCGTAGCTTAAAAGAGGTTTTGTTACAAAGCAGCTGTGCCACTCGTTCATCACTAACAATTTCCACTGCCCGCGCTGTGTTTTTTCTCTCTCTCTCATATTCCTACGCTCGTATTCGGTGCATGCGATGAGAAATGTGAATGGGAAATATGCCGGTCTTGCAGATAGCAGTGCACATCCGTGCGTCAAATAGCATCTCCAAAAATCTTGGCACAGAACTTTCTGCAGTTACTTCAATCGGCTACCATTATCACCATTATTGGAGCACTTTTTATAGACCCTGCAAAGAGTGTTGTGTGGCAATCAAACCAAACCGTTTCACCCACAGACCATCATTAACCAAACTAAGTGAACACCACATCTTATTCTAGGAGGCACCAAGTATTTGGTATGTGTGCATGTATGACTTCATACTAGACATCATATATTTGGTATGTGTGCATGTATGACTTCATACTAGACATCATATTACACAAAGGGAGTTAGCCATCTTTTCTGAGCAATTACACATCAATGCTTGTACAGGTCTTCAGATCCAACCAATGGAAAAGCATGGTTTTTAAGGGCTTTATTGTGGGGTTCATGTGGTAATTTTTTCACGAGTCATCACTAACTATGTTTACACTATCAACTCATACTTGTCAGAGCCCAGTTTAATCACAGGCAGCTATAATCCGTGTTAAAACCCAGCATCTTAGCTGTTCATTGTTGCTGTGACAAACATTAGTGGCATTATCCACCTCTGATCCACCTCCGATGGTATTATTACACATGCAAGGTGATACCGTCCGTGTGTATGCGCGCGTGTGTGTGTGTGCAGAGCGAGCACTTCCCTTTCTTGGGTATCAACAGCCAATCAAGCTTGAGCGACATGCGCTGCCGTACCACCTTCTACACTGCACTGGGACGATTGCTCATCGTCGATCTGGGTAAGTTAGAATGGTCTACTCGCCAGTGCTGGTCCCAACTTTCCACGGCACCGCTTGCACCAGTTTGCTCTCATGAGGAATCATCCGTGAGACGAGTTGCTAAAGAAAATACGACCTCTGGCGATACAATGTGCTTTTCAATAGACAAATGTAATTTCAATATATTTGACTTCATATTTTATACATTTTGAAAGTTGGTCCAGTAAAGCCACATTGTTGTAATGATTCATCGCTTAAAAATATTTTAGCGTATATAATACATGCATGATATACATTGTACGTTATAATCTAGATTTGAAGTTTTTGTGACTGCAGGGATCCATACTCTTTGGTTCTTTCTGTAAAGTCACATAGGTATAAAATAAATTAAATCACGACGTTTCGGGCGCAACACAAGCGTCCGTCATCAGGTGGGACAACCACAGTGAGAAACAATTGCCCACTTCAGCAATTGCCCACTTCAGCGATTGTACGGTATAGTTTCACATGACCCGTGCGGCCACTAGAGGCGCTACAACACACCACTGTTAAAAAAATTATCTATTTAATTAAATCACGATCCTGAATTGTGACAATTCATCACCGGCGGGGGGTGCGAAATTGTCATGGATTTCATTGCTGCAATCATTAACTTATTTTTTCATCTGCATAGCAATTACCAATTTTCAGGTACAAATTCGTACTTTGTGGTAATTGAAAAGTACGCACGTGTCTTTTTAACGGCCCTGCGTATCTGTTAATCAGAACCACTGTCTCTGCCTCTCGTTGAAACGTAAAATGTTTTTTCACTCAGGCGAGGACGAAGACCAGTTTGAACAATTCATCCTCCCGCTGACGGCAGCATTCGAAGTCGTGGTACGAATGTTCAACTCCAGCAACTTCAACCAGGAAGAGGCCAAGGTAATGGCTCTTGCTCCATGGCTTTCCCTGCACATCATAGTGGCATCTAACCACCTTTGTTAAGGTGTGTATGCCATAAGCCAGGGGTGGGAACCTACCACCCAGCACATCCACTTAGTATCATGTCACATGAGCCATGGTCACATGAGGTCTGCCACTTGGAACAGGCACACGATATTAATCCATCACTGCATGTATCGTAGCCGCACTCATTGTGTACTAGACGGGACTATTTTCAACCTGGCAACACTATGTTCCTAATATTAGTGCGCTCAGTCACTGACTAAGGTGTGGATTAATGTGTGGCCTGCTAATGGTAATTTAAAGTCCTTCTTGGCCATCGGTAAGGATAAGGGTTTTTACCCCTGCCATAAGTGCTGGTCATGGTGGCACACACGCATAGTGGAGGCAATTTTTGGTGGATCCCGTAGGTTTGTTAAACTCTCAAATTAACTGGCCTACAAGTTGGTCAGGAGATGGCAGTAGAGTAAGTGAGTTTGTGAACTCATCTGTGTTGAACTATTGAGTATTATGTCATCATGGTATGTGTGGGTAATTTCTGGGTCCTTTATATTCTTCCCAAGTGTAAAGCCTGCTTAAAAAATTAATTGGCTGAGCATCGCAGTGGAAGACCCTCTTTAAGAAGAGTTTTGAGACTCAGCGAGGCTGACCCTGATAAACGGATGAAATTTAGATGGCAGATCACTGTAGCTGGCCATACGAGCAGTCATGTGAGTGAAGAAACCGAGCCTATGATATAGTACCATTTGATCATTCTCTTGACATTCTAAATAAAAGTCAAGCATCATTATTAATAAGCGTGTTTAGATCAGGCCTCGTGCTTCAGCCGCAGATCATTTTTCTACGTTGAACCAATCCCCATTCATTTGTAAATTGTGCAACAACCATCGTGTCCATTCATCGATCGGTTAATGTGGGATGATGCACCCTGCCCGGCCCACGAGACCTGCTGTAGCCTCGCTTTTGTGCAGATGTCGTCATCACAGGCTCGCCAGTTGATGGAGGGCCTGCCACCCAGTGTGGCTTCGTGGGCTCGCGCGGCTTTTCGCGCAGTGTGTGTGGCAGTGTGTGCGCGTTGGTGGCGATGCGCTCGGGGGGGCTGTCGTCGTCATCGTCGGCTGTTTGTTTGTTTGCTTGATTGGCAGGCGTATCGTGCAGGAGCAGCTGTTTGATTGGGCACCCGCCCCTCTAGGCCTGGCCCGCGGGCTCTGCCGTGCATGAATAATGTATTTGAAATTTATTTGTTGCGCTCTCCCTTTTAGCTGCAGTTAATAAAAGCGCGTGTAAATTCCGAGTCGGAGGCCTCGCGGGCCTGTCGGACCCCTTTGTTACACCGTGTGATTAATTACAGGCCAGGTCCTCACCTGTTTCCACGGTGCTTTTCTTTTGCAGAACTAGTCGCAGCAATTTCCTTCTTTCATTGCACCCGTGCCCTGTCCGAATAATTTATTTATTTTGGTTGGCGGTGGCGTTATTGTATTTATTATTTGGAGCCGCGCGTCAATTACTGCGTGTGTCAGCGCATCGCCATTGACTTGGAGGTCTGCTCTCTTTAATAGGCTAACAAAAAGGGTTGTAAATATTCAGGTAATTAAATGTTGTTAGACATGCTAATAAAGCAATGTCGGGAGCATCAGACCGAGTACACCTGACGGAGCCAGGTGCACTCGCAGTGCGGCGGGGTGAGGAATGGTGAAAGTGCGTTCGTGCGGAGATTTGCGCACAAGCGACGGGTAACGTTACACGCGACACTGAGTGCCAACTTTGCAAAATGCTTAACCGGACTCAAATTTCAATCCATCTTTTTTTTGTTTGATGTTTTTTTTTTTCGTCCGATGCTTTTTTTTTGTTCCTTTTTACAAAAATGTTTTTTTTTTACTTCTGGCTCAATGCTAGTTGGATAGATTTATGTCAAAATCCACGTAACTGCCACATACCAAAAAACAAACCGAACACAAGAAATGGCAAGACCCTGCCATCCATCCATTTGCTGCCATCGTCATCAGCCATGATCGATGCTGCACGAAGACATCTCGATGCCATCACCATCTCATGGTTTAGCGATGGAGAAATCCACCGTGCACTTGCACAAATGTAATCACCTGTTTTAGGCGGTGGACAGCCCCTACGGCACGTTCCTACCTTCGGCTGCCGCTCCGTCTCTCGTCTCGACCACTGAACCCCCCCTTCTCACGACACCCTAGAGAAGCGTTTCAATCTCGCTTAGCTGTCATTGCCACCGGCATTCAAGCCAGACCTTGCAATGCATTTCATTCAGCGTTAGCATCAGAACTTTGCTTGTTTTACCATGATATATGACACCTGGTCGGGGTTAAACAAAAAAAGCATCCGAAAATGTATGACGTTCCACCAATCCATTCTTAGCGCTTAGTCAGGGCGCACTCATCGCGCTGCAGCGCAGCCACCAGGACACGGGTTGCTGCTCCTACTGATTGACGATGGCCAATGCATCAACTGCTTTCAAGTTGGCTGAAGTGCGGAGCAGCAAACGATTCCGGATCGCGCGGAATGTCCCTTATTATGGCTCAGCGCATGGTGCCGCGTACGAAACTATGGGCAAACTCCTGTTGCCTCAGCTAACAGGGCCGGCGTACTAAGGAATCACAATTGTTATTATAATATAATAACGCAATTTTTTTGTATGTATGTTGAACTTCCGCACCGTATGTAGCCAACCGTGATAATTAGGACCCATTGCAGAAGCATATCAAGCTAAAAAAAAATTGTTAATGAAGTCTAACACTCACAGTATTTACATTTAACAGTCTCAAGCAATGGCACTGCAATGCAATGGCAGCAGAAAACGTAAGTGATGATTGAATGATATGTCAAGGCTGTACTTCATCAATAGATTGTTTCGGCATTAATCATTAAACATTTACAGATGTAATATTCTCACTTCGTCTGTAGAGAATCCAACTAGGGTACTATCAGCTGAGTACCAAGTTCAGGAATTGTTGCTATTTAGACTCCAGATTCAATCACAGAATCGATCAATTGTTTTATATACTGCTGAAAATGGCTGCAGAAGTGATGTGAACCCATTACATATAAGACATACAAATCAAAAATATTCAACCTTGCATTTACAATTCGACTGATGTATCATGAGCTGAAGAGCCTCTATTAACTAACAAATGTATGCAGCAGTAGATAATGTCTGATGATTGGGCGTCTTATCGTTCATCCCCCCACTGCTCCAGGGATTTGGAGAAATGTTAAGATTCAGGGTAGCGATTTGATTAAAGAATCAATTATTTTTGTCGTCTCATTTGTATTGTTTCTGACGTGTTCTGTTTTGAGTGTACAATGTTGCTCAAGCCTTTGTTTTAAATGTAACATTAGTGTAACATGTATATGTAATTTGTGTTAATTGGTCAAAACGATTCTTACATGTATTTTATACATTCATCGCGATCGTAATAATCGATTTTGGCCGACGAATCAACGCATCACCACTCGATCACTGGATTAATGCCGTAACAGAGTTTGCACAGGGCTCATGACGAATGTATACTTAAAAAGTCCGCGTTTAACCGTTTACTCGTAAAAAAAAAAAAATTGATTTGTTGACTTGTTCCCATGTTCTGTGCTATTTAAACAGAGGACACTCGTCGGACTCGCGCGGGACTTAAGAGGAATAGCGTTCGCTTTCAACAGCAAGACCAGCTACATGATGCTGTTTGACTGGCTGTATCCTTCGCACAACGTAAACGCACTGCTCCTCCCGCCAATGAAATGGGACGCTCACCTCTGTTTGCCAGAGGTGCGCACACAACGCACGTCTGCGTTTAACTGATTCAGTGATGGGGATTACTGGGGATTACACGCTGCTGGTGCTCTATGCCTCTCCTCCCCTCAGCCTTGGCTTTTGTTTGCACTGTCCGCCGCGTTGAGTCTCGACTTTGCGTAACAAATGCCACATCAAAAAGTAAAATCGGGATGCTTAATCGCCTTAATGTGTGCAGATAGGTTATTTTCGCCAGGTGTCATTTCGCAGCAGACTAACCCTTTGCGTGATACACGTTCTATTTTTTTGTTTAGGTATAACAATCAAAACTTGTACGTGTTGTTCAGATGAGTTTGCAAAAAGCAAAGACTGCAACAGCAATATTATTAGGCGTTTCAAGGTGGCTTATGCCAACGTAGATAATTTAGTATGCAGCAGAAGATGGCAGTAGAGAGCGTACTTTGACAAAAACATGTTTTTGTGCTGAAGCGACTGAGTGGGTGCTTACCTATAGAAGCAAGCACAACACCTGTGTACATTGAGCCTTGAACACCAACTGCCTATGCCCTGAGTTGCAGCTGCTCATTGCGACCCCCTGCCAATGCTGTAACGGTTCAAGATTTTAGCGCTGGTCCAGTAGTTGCCACTCAAGAAGCCGTGCCAAACAATTGTCAGTGGGCGTCTTTGAGTGAGATATTTTACTTCGATAATTTCTTTACTCACCGATTCATGGCAGGTACAATGCTCTCGGAAATGCAAACATTTTCAATTAATTAACATCTAGCGATTTCGGCAGTTACAAAGAAATGCATTGTCTGAGGTTATTTACATTGTTTCGTTAATATCCAGCACAAGTTTGCATTGCCTACCGTAAGTCTGAAGATTGGACCCGCCACACATGCCAAACAGAGCATTTACATGGTGGGCTACTCCCCCATGTCCCAGGTCCTATGGCCTTCAGGTCGGACAACTGTGCATACCCTCTGCCAGGAAAATACAGTAGGCAGCAGCGCCAGACGTAATGTTTTCCAGACGAATCTACGAATGTTTAGGTTGGCTACCTAAGAGTTTATTTTCATCGGAAACCTGGTCCCAAAAAGGCTGTGCCCAATATTGATGATTAAATCGCAGTAGCAAAAAGGGAACCCAGTGAAACTCCATATAGGTTTTTTTTTTTACATGACGCAAGAATGTGCTTGATGCGCAAAGGCCCTTTACTTAGCAAATCTGATTCACTTCAGGGTTTACTTATAGGGTACATTATTAATTTTGAAAGATTTTAATTACTTGACGTGATTTTAGGCTTTCAACGAACAGGAGCCCCACTAAATGGCTATTTAATGCATTTTAAGGGTAATGTGTGTTTGCAATAATGCAATAAAAGGCTGTTATTGTGATGTGGGCAAAGCTGCTGCAACTGCAGCTCTTGGCACAGGCAACCTCTAACACGGCAGCTATCCTCAAATTACCTATAATGTGCACATGCTTGGCCTTATATTGCTTAATTAAAGGGTGTCCTGTTGTGCTTGATGTGGCCTGATTCAATTTGGTAAGGAAATGGCGTTGGCTCTTTACAGCCGGTTTTAACTCCTCAAAAAAGCGGTCCCAGCAGCCTCATTTGATCCGTTTTCTGATGAATGCGCTGCTTTTGCAGCTGGTAATGCGATTTCTAAAAATTTCTCGTGCTTTAAAAAACAAATTCGTAATTAATTCTCCCTCACTTTACAACCAAACACATTGTGGTGTGCACCGTGCGGTTCTGGCCTCGTTGTTGGACTGGTTCTGCTCTATTAGGGAATGTATATTGAAGTGGGTAAACTGAGCCGCTTTTAGTAATATTTTTTTTTAGCTTTTATTGTGGTTGCCAAAAGCAAGCGGTATAACAGTATCCAGGGCTGGAGTAGTCCACAGAAACCTGCATTAGTTGGATTGTACCTCCCCGTGCCTTGGTCCCCATGCACGTCTTGGTGTAAGGTGGCCGGTGCCCCACGCTGATTTCCTTAGCGGAGCCCGACGCTGTCTCGCGCGCATGCAGCTACCCGACGTACATGCCCGTTTTCCTGCGAGCCATCGAGCTCTGGTACCTGGAGCCGGCCTGCACGACCCCCATCCTCAAGTTAGTCGCCGAGCTTGTGCAGAACAGGTAAGGGGTGGGGGGGGGACCTCCTGCGGGGAGACGGACTGGAGGCCTCAAAACACACGGGCACACACGCGTGCGTGCACACACCGCAAGGGGCGTTCAGTGTTGCGGGCAGAGGCCTCGATGCGTGCGCGTCGTAGGGCGCCCCAGTGTTTGGCAGGGTTATGAGAGAGGACACCGAGAAGGGAGGGCAGTTGAAAGCCCGTCCGTCCTAAGACGCGTGCCCTCGTGTTGTTTGAATGTAAAGCTGTGGCCGAAGTAAAATGGTGCGTGATTAAGCGAAGTGATTTGCGTTGAGATTGTATGTTTCTTCGGAAAGAAGAAAAATAATAAAAATAAATGAACGAATTAAAGATTCATTGGCGTTTCGTATTTTGAGCATAGGTACAGCGTTCGTTAATGCGATGTAGGTTTTAAGTTACGGCTGATAAAAAAAAGGCTTCCAGACACATGGGCCCAAAGTATGATGGATTAACTTCAGTGAGAAAAAAGCAGTTTATTAAAAAATAGACTAAAAAGAAATATCCGATGCATTGGTCATGGCATGTTTTCCACCCCTCCCCCGGTATACACATCCATTGCTGCTGATGCGCTCTGGTTTGCCGGTGGGCCAGGCTGTGTGTGTGTGTGCTCACGCCGTTTGTTGCTTACAGCTGGACAGATTGACATTTAGTAGTAATTTTGATGATCAATGCGTCCAATAAATTGCGCCAACGAATGGCGTGTGTTCCGGCAGGTCCCAGAGGTTACAGTTTGATGTGATCTCGCCCAACGGCATCTTGCTCTTCAGGGAGGCCAGCAAAATGATCACCACGTACGGTAAGCCGGCGCGTGCCGTGCAGGAGGGACGCGAGCACCGTTTACAGGAATAACATCCACGTGCGCTCACACGATTTTCAGGGCCATTCCATCCCGCCCCAGGGCGTTTCATCCGGGGCTCTTGAAATGAAAGAGCGAAAAAGAGTGGAGGGACGTTTTAAAACAAACGATGGTTTTCACCGGTGCCCCATTGTAGTCCGGCTCGCTTCCGATATTGCAAAAATTATTTCACGTTTTAAAATAAATATATAAACGTCCTCTAACGGCTCTGGGCGTGCCTCCTCAAATTGATGATTTTGCGAGAATGCAATAATGGTGTCGCATTAAGTTTATAATTCATGAAGAGTGAGGAGGTATAAACAAAAGGAGAAATTACATTTAGTGTGGATTATTTTAGGGTATTTGATGCATTAAAAACGTATGCAAAATGTATTAAATAAAAAACATTCGAATTATATGTTCAGTGTACGTGCAATCAGAAGTGCACTTTGGCACAATCTGTCCCGATTGCCATGGTGGTAACATGACCTTGTGTGCCGATGTCTGGTGTCAGCAGGATGAGCTGTCCTTTGGCCGTAATGTCCGTGACATATGCTCTTTCGAAGGGAGCAGATGGACACAAACCCCTTTGCACCGAGGATTCAGTTTCTGTTTTTAGCAGATTTCATTTTTTATGGGTTTTTTTTTTTACTTTCTCATGGACTCTGTCCATTAAGTTAACTTAATGAGAAATGGGTGGTCTGACATTTATCTTCAGCGCAGTTTCACATTAATGGATTCATCAAATGATGATTATCCATTAAGTTGATTAATAATGTTAGAACACTGCAAATGCATGCCCGGTAGCAAAATATGGAGCACTATTTCATTTAAAAGAAAATCATTTTCCGCACTCGTCAAATATAACTCGTATAGGCAAACAGTTTCCGATGTAGAACCTTCGACATTAATTTGCTTTGAAATCCATACAAGGAACAAATCTATAATCAGCATTGCCTTTTGGGTTTCAGACTTCGTGCATCAGTGGCTATCCTGTATCGCGGACACTAAACCCTTCACTTAAAAGCCTATTGGAGTGTTTTCATAAGGTTAATATGAAATTCATTACCACCACGCTGATTAATGGGGAGGGATTTCACTGTGTTTCTGCCGTATTCAAAGCAGACTAAGCGGTGGCCGCGTGGATCTTGGCATGTTTGCGCAGCCTTTCAGTTCTCATTGCCAATCCATTCCAAAAATCCACAGCGTGGGACGATTTTCCTGCAACAGGCGTCCGTTTGGGAAAACAAATAATTATAATTTACATTTTGGCAGTAAAATTGAGTTGATTACATTGTCATGTTTCTGCATATTTGATTTCTTTTTATACTCAACGTGAATAATATGGTCGCTTTCAATTTATTAAACTTCTTTTAATTCATGTAGAGTTTAGTTTTTTGTTCAAACAAGGCAGCTCTGTTAATGTCCCAGAGCTTATTTACAAAGAGCCACTCTTTGTATTCGCAAGCAATTTCAACTCTGGGCAGGTAATAAATTTTGCCCCGGCATGGGCACACACAATGGCCGGCTTTTGCAAGAACTCGCGTGGGATATTTTAGCAGCCACGGGCCTTCACTTAACTTCCACCAAGTGATGGCACACTTGGCCCAATATACCCTCCAGAAAAACAGAAATAACCCCATGATGCTGCGTGGAGGAACAGATGTCGTCGGCGCTTTTGTTGCCATCGCGTATACTACCCTTTGCTAATCGCCAGTCTGCTATAATTGCTTTAATTGAGCTAACAGCACCCGGCCACATTGTCCCGAAAGCAGTTTTACAGCCACTTTTGCACTCTCTTACCAGTAAACCCATTAAGAATGTAGTAACTGTTTTTTTTTCTCTCTTTTTAAAGCAATGTTATAAATAACTAACTGGGTTTATTATGCAGAGCCCTTTGGGCTCTTAGCATTTTTGCCACAGTTTGTCTGTGACCTTATGAGGAAGGCTGTGACTGTGAGTGCTGGTTACAGCGTTATGAGTATCAAAATTTAATTTGTGCATCGACGGCAGGAAGGATGTGAACACTTGCGCTGCAGAAATTGACTTGGTGATGCCCGTCTAGAGCTACCCATAAAAATCTATCTCACAGAAAACCATGCAGTCGTTGCAGCACACATTTTCTCCCTTGCATACAGTCCATTGCAGTTATTGTATTTTGTTGCGAACATTAACGTGCGGTGGTAAATTAAATAGTGCACAAATGGACCGTGTTTGCATTGCACGGTTATAACTGCATTTTAAAATGTGTTCATTGCATTGGCTGTAAGAGTACCATATAATTTTATGGTATTTTGGCTTATGCGTGGCTGTATATGTGCGTAAGCCTTATTATGTACATGTGGGTGTGCTTGCTAGTGGATGAATATGTTGGATAACTTTAGATGTTATTGCTATAATAATTTAGTTTGCCTATGTCGGTGCCATTAGATTGGAGATTTTGTCCGACATCCATTACACGTGATGCGTTAAGACAACATCCGGTATGTGTTTTACCCATTTGAGTGCGGGTCGAAATGGGGGAGCCAAACCGTGCTTAAATATTATTGCCTATCAGCAGCGCGATCAGTGGTAGGAAGGAACTAGGCACCTTTTAGACGTCACATCTGCACTTGACTTCTCTCAGGGAGAGCCCCCCCCCCCCACTCACAGCTACATTCACAGAGCCTGGCGAGCCAAAGGTCGTATAAGTATCACACGCTTGGATTAATCGCCTGCAATTACCCGGGTGCTTGTGCAAAAACAAGAAAAAAAATGTAGCGGTCAAACTGAAGGAGGGGGTAACGGCTTCCTTTAATTGCTCGCTGAGAAGAAGCAGCCAGGTTGTCAAGCTTCTTCTCCTGTTTTTGCTCGCCATCGCCCGGTGGTGTGTGGACCATCTGATAAAAGCGTAAATACGCAAACAAACGGCAGCGCGGCCCCCTTGTCTGAAGGCTGCCGTGTGCGCTCCCAGCGTGGTCGCGGCTGCCAAAACAAACAGATAGTGTTTCTCCGCCGCTAATCCGGCCGCTGTCGGTGGTGGATCCCTACGCCTGGGGACGAGAGGAGGCTAACCCCAGCACTGCTGCTGCTCACCGCCCCACCAGGCAGCCACCCGCCCCACCAGGCAGCCACCCGCCCCACCAGTCCCTCGCCTCCCGGATCGCCTTACCTGCCCGGGGCTGTTTGCTCTGTGCAGACAATGGGGCGCGGCAGCCGGAGTCAATTAGACAGGCCTAATGTCCTACCATTAGGAGCCTGCCGGCTGGGACGACCCTAGCGGGAGAGAGGAAGGGGAGGGGGGCAGCAGGGGTCTTTGCGGCACGGGGAGTGTGGTGGGGGGGGTGGGGGGTACAGGGCAGGCCCGGGCGGGGGAGGCAGGAAGCGAACACGCTGATAGTCCGTGGAGATACCCGGCCCTAATCGAAGGGGTGTCTGCCATCTGTCGAGGGAGCAGCACGCAATGATGGCGGAGATGCAGAGAAAATTGCAGGACAGTCTGATAAGACGTGTGTGGTATGTGGTGCTACTACCTGCCGTCCCTGTCGCGCACTGGTTAACCAAAGTGGGGAGGGGGGTGGGGTCCAGGTGTTGTTCTGATTGTGAGAACAAAAGCAATACAAATAAGAGTGGATAGATAAAAGCAAACTCGCACTACGCACACACAAAAAACCCTAAACGTTGAAACGATTGTTTTTGCTTAAATTGATTTTCAGTGCATGTTTATTTGCAAATAATCATCCGTCAAACGTAACGGTTGTTTACGGGCACCTGTGCACGTCCGGTTTTTACGACGGTAAGTCGGTTGTTATTTACGAGGATTTAAAGAGAACATCACAGCCGATCATAGGTGTGCTTGATGCAGTGGTTTCGATCGAGTTACAAGTGGCAGTTTCAGGTCGAATGAGAGTTTGAAATATTCAAACAGGTGGAACAGCGAGATGTATTACCTCGACTTGACTACGGTTGCCATAAATATCTCAACGTTTGCGCTGGCTTCCATCCGTGCGAACTACGCGATTTGATCTTCTACATATGCCGCATGTTTGGAAAATAGAGAAAATGCCATTAGGATGGCACTGGATGTAAAAGCATAGCGGGGCGATTGCGCGAGTATTGTATTTGAGATGTTATTGAATTTAACATTGCATCGGCGATGGTGGCGGTAGCGCCGTTATTGCTCCTAATGCACAGATTGAATTTGTTCCAGTGTATTCGCAATATTCTTGGCGAGTTTTCGTCATAATAAATAGGTGCACCTGAGCAGTGTGCTGTAAACAGGCATGGCAGAAACACCGTACATATAAGGTACAACAATGTGGTTATTTTATTGCAAATATCTTTGAATGAGGCCGAAGACACTGGCATACAAATATGTATTCCGGGAGAGAATACTGTAGGATCATCGACACGCTTACTATTTTAGCAAAAAAAACTTTTAAAAAGTGGCATACAGTGCAAAGGGGAGCACTCTACGCATGTAAACATATTGATGTTCACGTTTGCAGCAATTAGCGATGAGAATGGGGAGAGAGAGAGAGAGCCTTGGCACTTAGCCATGCAGGCAGCTCACATCCGTCCATCAGCGTGTGCTATCAATTTGTCTCCATGTCCGCACTGCCCCATTCGTCTCCATCTCCATGCACAGTACATCTGTCCACTTTGATGCATCATTTAATAGTGTGTGGCTGTTTGTGGAATAATGCCGTTTTAATTAAAATCTCAAACTCGTGTGTGCATCGTTTCCACAAGCAGCTTTATTGAGCACGTCCAAGATTTTATACAAACTGTGCCTACTCGGTCAAAAAAGTGATTTGCCGTTCAAGTGAAAACAGCATGGTGGCTCGTGTCATGTTTACAGCCCTTAAGCTAATGGTGGAAATTCCACATTCATATGGCAGGAGCAAGTATATCCATAAATAATAAAGTTTTGAATCTTCACAAAGTGGTGCTCATCTCATAGAGCCTGAAGGGATAAAGGG